TTATAGCGGTATAGGTAGGTATGTAGATCATGTAGATCTACCATGCGGACCATTTAGATATTTAATGGTACATATCGATGAAGCTACTCGATGGTCGCACATATGTTTATTATCCAACTACAATTTGGCATTAACGAGATTTCTTGCTCAAATAATTAAATTACGAGCACAATTTTCAAATCGCATCATGTACCGTATATACATACTCAAAATAAGATTAATAGTTATAATAAGATTAAAACCGACAAACTATCATAGTTACTCTCTAGCACAATAGGTGTATGCAACAAACATACTGAATCCTTAAAAAATTTTCATATAGATATCATTATCTAATTAGTAGATGAGTGATTGATATATATGATTAGAGAAAGAATTGGACTCTCTCTCGCTGTACTATAGGGTAGAGTAGAGTTAATAGTCGTAACTCTCTCAATTCTACCAAGGCTGGCTCCGAAACTACATTGGCGGCACCTTGCTCTACCTTATATATCCGGTTTCTTATGATGTTTTTATATTTACTATTTGAAGTGCAATGTCTATGTTCCTAAAGGCATGTACCTTGACTGCGCACTGTTGTTCAATTCCCCCCCCCCCCATCTTTTTTTGCTACCCGAATTTCAATTTCATATTGCATTTTTATGCGGATGTTGGATTTCAATTTTTGTGAGGATTTTCGATTTCTATTTTTCATTAGAAGTGCTTAGTTTGAAGAATATTGCTTTAGTTTTGAAATTCGGCTTGATTTTGTGTCCAGTGTTTAGGTTTGCATTTTGCCATTTTGGTGTATGGATCTTTAATTTTTAGACTTACCTTTACAATTGCATCCATTTTTAGCTATGAAAGGGTTTTAGATTCTCTGAATTTATATAAAATTTTTTGAATGATTCAGTATGTTTGTTGCGTACAAATCAAAATTTTAAAAAAAAATGTTAGTCAATCAAATTATAAAATTCTTTATATAGACTCAAGCAACCTGGTTAGATGTAGTATAATCGTCTCAGTGAATATTATTGAAAGAGAGATATACTAATGACTTTATTGCTCCATGTGTTTTTATAAAGAAAAATATGAGAAAATTTGTAACCATATTTGTATATGTACACAATTTGAATTTAATTGGAACACATGAAGAGGTCTAATAAGCTATTGAATACTTGAAAATGGAATTTGAAATCAAGGATTTTGGGAAAAAGAATTCTTTCTTGGTATACAAATTGAATATTTGCAAAATGAAAATTTCATTCATCAATTTGTATATATCTAGAAGGTATTAAACGATTTGCAATGAATAAAACACATTCATTAAGAACTTCAATGATCGTTACAACTCTTAATCCTATTAAGGATTTTTTAGAAACCCCCCCCCCCCCCCCCCCCCAAAAAAAAGAATGAAGAAAAACTTGATCTTGAAATACCATACTTAAGTACTATTGGCACACTAATGTATCTGGCTAATAGCAAGAGGTCGGATATAGCATTTGCTGCAAACTTATTAACAATATTTAGTACAGTAAAACAACATTAGAAATGTGTTGAACATATTTTTTGTTATTTATAAACAACTATTGATTATGGTTTATTACATTTAAAGATATGTCAGATATAAATTGATTATAAATTGATTGAATATGTGGATGTTTCTAACCCACATAAAGTCAAGTCTTAGACTGACTATATATTTGCTTGTGGTGGCATTGTAGTATTTTAGATTTTTATTAAACAAACATTGACCGTGACATCTTCAAATCATGTTGAGATAATAGCAATTTATGAGGCTAGTCGAAAATGTGTATAATTGAGATCAATGACTCACCACATTTTAAAGAATTGTGGTTTAAAATCTGAAAATGATAATCCTCTTATTATTTTATATAAAGATAATGCAACTCGTATAGTTCACTTAAAAAATGATATATCAAGAGAGATAGAACGAAATATATTTCATCGAAACTTTTCTTTGCTCATGATCTTCAGAAAATGGTGAAATAGATATGCAGAATATTCGATCAAATAATAATTTAGCAAATTTATTGACCAATAATTTACTGGTGAAAAACAATAAAATATGTCGGCTACGAGATGATGAGGAGTAATTTAAATGCATAAATGATGTATTATTTTTCCTTCAATGAGACTTTTGTTCCATTGAATTTTATTTTTTTTAATAAAAATTTTAATAAAATGTATTCATTGAGATTAATAATACATTAAAAAAAAAATGATATGATACACCAAAATAGATGTCAATACATGTATGAGATGTTTTAATTTTGTAATGCCAAATGACATATTTAATGACTAATTAAATTTCCAAAAGCCTATTAGTGTATTAAATAATAATAATAATAATACACATTCTTCTCTCTCCCTTTTCAAACTTTCTCTTTCTATTTATAATAACATATATTTGCAAATACATATATTAATTAATATTATATTTATATTTCATGTATATATTATACAAACAAAAATTGGCAAATAATACGAGATCTCAGTACCATTTAATCTATTTTAAGCTTGAAAGAAATAAGAAAGCACTAAAAAAAAACCCAAATAAATAAATAAATCCAAAAAATCAAAATACTGCTACATTCTCTTAAAAAAAACATAGACGAGAAGAAAATAGTAAATCTGAAGAGTATAATCGTGTTTTACAACCAAAAAAAAAAAAGAAAAAAAAGGAAGAAATTTGAACAAATTTTGTTACTATAGAAAAACCAAATTACCCCGACTTCAATTCAAGCATAAACCTATAAACAAAAAGGATTGATATCCAATGCCATCGCGACTATCCACAAAACAATAGTCTTAGACACATACATAAAGCACAAGTTTTGTGACGAGGCTGAGTGTACCTTGCGACAACGAACATTCAGACCCACACATGACGGTCAAGTAAAATATTGGGCAAATATTTAAGATCCCATTAAGTATTGCGATATAAATGGAATCATGACCATGAGTCTACGTTGAATTGGACAAAAAAAAACCAAAAAGTTGGAAGAGAACTTAAAAAAATACACAATAATAATAATAAAAAAACAACCCAAAAATCAAAACCAAATGAGCATAGGAAAATTGATTCTTTTTGTTAGACAACAAAGATCGACTCCGCCTCATCGGAAGCATTTAGGCGGCCACTACATCGAATACGAGAGCTATGGATGAAGAAACGGAAAACGGCAACTGCACATCGAAAACGAGAGCTATGGATGAAGAAACGGAAAACGGCAACTGCACATCGAAAACGAGAGGAATATGTGTAGGAGATAAAGATGAAGGTGGCAATTTCTTCTCAAACACAAGAAGAATGGATGGTAGGGTTTTTGAGAAAAGAAGAAATTAACAGATAAAATCATGGTAGAATAGTAAAATTTTTAGGGTTTTGGATTTTGAGTTGGAATTTAAATAGTAAAAATTTTGAATTTGAATAATGGTATGATGTGATATAAATAGGTGTTGATGTGATATTTTGAATGTAAAATTGATTTTTAGTATAATATAAAAAATAAAAAATAGGTGTTTAATTTGATATTTTTTTAGAGAAAAAATGAAATAAATAACATATTTAAAATTCAATCCCCCAAACAAGCACACTATATATCACATATTCGTATATTTATCTACCATATTATCTATTTATATATTATTATAAAAATTCATTGTCTTCTATAGATACTTTAGTTGTATATTACATAGTATTATATATAAAATAAAACATTTGAAACTAAAATATGCAATAAGATAAGTTGATCCATTCTTTTATTTCTTATTTTAAAATTAATACTTCATCAGTCCAAAATCAAACATTATTTTTTTTTTTATTTTATAATAAATTAAAAAATACTAATATTTTATTAATTAAGGGAAATATGTAAAAAATTTTGACATTTTAAAATTAATAGTATTTTATTACTTATGAGATTTTTATCTTTTACTTTATATCTCAAAATTTTTTTCCTCAAAAAACATCAAATCAAACACTCAATTTTTTTTAAAAAAATTTATTTTATTATACTAAAATTCAATTTTACATTCAAAATATCACATTATATATTTATATCAATAAGACTCCTGAAAAAGAATGTGCACATTCTTTGACATAGTAGTCTATCAATTCATTTAATTTCTAATCAACTTTGGTCTAACACCGACTTATCTACACACATGACTTATCTACACACATGACTTGACCAAGCAAACGATTCAACTCCGGAGTATCACAAATAAATATATACTTTCTAACTTGGGAATGAAATTTAGGGACAAAAATATTATTAATGGTGTATTTCTTTTAACAATTTTTTTAAAATTTTACTAATTTGATTTTGAGTTTTTCAAATAATATATATATATATTTTATAAAATATCGTTTTATTCAAACGAAATCCAAATAAACAAAGTAAAAACTAACACTCACTACTAATTTACTATCTCCGTCCCACATAATTTGTCTCTATTTTTTATTTTCGTCCGTCCCACATAACTTGTCCTTTCTATTTTTTGAAATATAATTATGCACTTTAATAGCATTTTAAATTTTATAATTTTTTTAATTTTAATTAAACTATTTACCTATTTTAATTTTAATTTATAATTATTTTTACTAAATAATAATTATTTTTACTAATATATTTTTTAATTATTTACTAATTATATTTTAACTAAATTTCCGTCTCTATAGTAATACTATGTTACGTACGACGGAGGAAGTAATTCCCAAAACACCATCCACAAACCCACCCAAAAGCTCAGTCAAGTAAACACGTTCAAATATAAAGACAAAAAAATATCATTATTCTTAAAAAATATATATATATAAAAAAAATAAAAAATAAAAAATCATACACACAAAAAGGCGCACAATTCCCTAACCGCTGAATTGATGATTTCACACAAAGAGATGGAGAGGAAACTACACCAAAATAAATATACATAATAATATTATATAAATATAAATATAAATATATATATATATATAATCATGTGTACAGTTTATTTTTTTTTATCATTTTGAAAAATTTCCTGTGCAACAACTCTTGCTCTTCAATCTTCAATCCCCCGCCGAATCCACGGCGAGGAGTTAATCCTCCCTTTCCTCCTAAAGAATGCTCTCTCCGTCCGCCGGAAAATCCATTTCCGCCTCAAATTTGGACTCCGGTGAAGAAACCAGGGACAAGCACCACCCGGGCTGGCCCGACCCGTTTCCTCGGCGGCGGGTCGACCCGGAAGAGGCGTTGAAGCATGCAATCCTCATGGCCCGCCGCCACCGGCCGGTTTCGCACTCCGGCTCCACCACTCCATACTCGGAATCCGAAACCGACTCCTCCGATGCCGCCAACCCTAGCGCCGCCTCACTCGACTGCACCTCCTCGTTGTCCGACGAGCTCTTACTTAGGGTTTTCGGCAAATTACCCGACGCGAGGCAGCATATTTCGAATTCGCTGGTTTGCCGGCGGTGGTGCGCGCTCTGCGGGAAGCTTCTCCGGTCGATTCGGCTGTTGGATTGGGAATTTCTGGAATCCGGTAGGTTGAGCTATCGTTTCCCCAATTTAATCGAAATTGATTTAGTCCGTGCGTGCGTGAAATCGGAGAGGAATTTGGGCACACTTTTAAGCAATAAATTGGTAGAAATTCGATTGACTTCCGGATTGTTGGAAAACGAGGGATTCTTCGTCAGGAACGAGGACATGATCGATTCCATAAGAATCGATGAAGGCGTAAGGATTTTAGCTGAGGGTTGCAAGAATCTAAGGAAAGTATCGCTGATGAACGTTGGTGAAGAAGGATTAGGTTACTTAGGGAAGGAATGCGAGCTTCTACAGGAGATGGAATTGCATTATTGCAACGATTCAGCATTGAAATCGATCGGCAGTTTTCGAAACCTGCAAATACTGAAGCTAATCCCGAGCATTCCGGCAATCTACGCCTCGGTAGTTTCTGACATTGGGATGACCTTCTTGGCACAGGGCTGCCGGAGATTGGTGAAGCTCGAATTGGTGGGTTGCGACGGGAGTTATGACGGGATTAAGGCGATCGGGCAGTGCTGCCCGATGCTAGAGGAGTTGTCGGTGATTAGTCATAGGATGGAAGGGGGGTGGTTGTCGGGTTTGTCGTATTGTACGAATTTGAAGACTTTGAGGATCGAATCGTGTGCTAACATTGATGTGAGTCCCGGCCCGGTCGAGCATTTGGGGTCTTGTGCGATGCTCGAGGAGTTGTGGCTGCAGCGGTGCTTGATGCGCGACGAGAAGGGTGTGTCGGCGTTGTTTTCGGTGTGTCGGGACGTTAAGGAGTTAGTGGTAGAGGATTGTTGGGGGTTGGATGATAGTGTGTTTGCTGCCGCGGCTGTTTTTAGGTATACATTTAATTTGGGCGTTTTGTTGGTAGAAGTTTATTTACGATTGTTCTAATATTGTGATTGTTGTTTGCGTGGTTTTAGATGTTTAATTGCTCCGTCGTCGTTGATTTAGTTGTCGCATTGGCATGATTATCTTAGGCATTTTCGATGTAGATTGGATATCTTTTGGTGTTTGCTAGTTTGTGATCTTTTTTAGGAATTCCATTTGGTTTTGCATTCGGGTGGTAGATGTGTGTTTCTTTAGGTTTGGATTGGGAATATTTGGTTTAAATTTTGTATTTAGATAATATATTTGATGTGAAATTTTGTGAGAAGAAAAAATATACTCTCTTTGTCATCCAATTGTGTGCTCATTTGATCGGACACATGTTTTAAGAAATAGATAAAAATAGAAACTTTTACCTTTTTAGAATAAAGAAAAAGTAGGAAAAGTAGTATTTTTTTACTAAAACGAAAACGAGAATAAATTTACATGACAACTAAAAAAAAGTGAGAATAAATTTGATTGACTGAGTGAGTGAGTATATATTTTTCGAGAAATTCAGAGTCCAAAATAGTGAAAATAGGGAAGAAATAACCATAGTTGAAAGTTTGGGAGTTTCTTGAAATGATGGAATAGGAGACGTTGCTACGAGTTAAATTTACGATGCTATCTTATGAAGTGGCTTTGGTGCGCTTTTATAGAATTTTAAATCTTTTTGTGGTTTCTGCGTAGATATTCCATAGAGTTTCGTTTATTTATGATAATTTGGGAAAGTGTTTTAGTTGCCGATCTATCATGTGTAAGTTCAAATATCGAATGCCTTCGAATTTGACTTCTATGTGATGATTAGGTATGGGATTGTAATTAAATTTCATTAGAGCCTAAAACCAGATAAGAATTGAAATAAACTATCATCTTTGTATCGGCGATTCTTTATCCACTTAGAATCTTTTATGTCTTCATTTATACATGACAATTATATTCCCGTGTGCTTAATTTGATCGTAGGGCAATCAGATCTCTCTCGCTAGAGGGGTGCTCGTTGCTGTCGACGCAAGGATTAGAATCGGTGATCCAGTCTTGGAAGGATCTAGAAAGGCTTCGAGTAGTCTCTTGTAATAACATAAAGGACAGCGAAATGACGGCGGATCTTGCCACTCTATTCTCCGTCCTCAAAGAATTGAAGTGGCGACCCGATTCCCGGTCACTTCTATCAGCTAGTCTTGCCGGGACGGGAATAAGACAAAAAGGGGGCCGATCTTTGAGGAGCAAGTGAAACTAAAACAAATCTATATCGAAAAATGATATCCCACCGGTAAGAATCTCATATATCTTCTAAGCTAACACAAATACGAAGTGCTTGTATTCTTTCATTTCTTTCTTACCATTTTCAGGTACGTTAAAAAAAAAAAAAATTAATTTTGTGTCGAATTAGGTCCTCTTCTTTGATGTTAGAAGATCTATTCTTCCGGCCTTATTACTTGGTCGAAACTTCGAGGTATATGTTTGTTTTGTCGGGGAGAATTGGACTTTACGTACGGGCTATTCTCATTTTAGTCGCTTTTCGATGTCCGTTTTATCGGAGATTTTGTAGGAGAGATTATTGGCTTTCATTTTTTAGCTGGCATGCTCGTATATAAATGATTTCGCCAAAGGTGTTATAGCAAAGAAGAGTAAGAAAAGCTTATCTCAAATTCGATGAAATTTTTACATCGAAAGAAAGTTGTGAAGATTACAATAGCTTGTCTAGCAATTACTTTGTTGCGAATCCGCAAAAATTTCACTTTGTATCCGCCGGATCTGTCAAATTAAAAAATTTCAACAAGCTTGATTCGACCCGATTTATCTACAAATTATCTATTTATTTTTTAAATAAATTAAATATATATATATATATATGATAAACACAAATTTTCATTCGTCTTCGCTGCCGCCACCAACACTAATAACAATAATAATATTTATTATTTAATTAATTGGGTCGGAGTCCGGGTCGGGTAGCATTTGCTATTAAACCCTTGGACACTAAATAAATGAGTAGGATTCAAGTCGAATCTCGAATCTATCCGTACCCATTGGCATCCTACTTCTATCTCACATTAATGATAGAAAAGATTAAAGTACTCTTAGGTTTTAAATTATAAATGAGACAATACAAAATAGTAAAGGAAATAATATCGCGAGATGGATGATATTTTTTTACCATTTGTTGAAGAATACTACTCATTTAGTTTCAAAAGAATAATTTTTTTTATTTTTGTAACAATAATTTTATTTTTATAAATAATCATATAACCATAAAATCACTTCTATTTTTTCATTATTATTACATATATCATTATTCTTTACACAAATACGGTCGCAATGATATCTTAGTTTTTTACTATCTATTTTATACTAATTTTTTATATAATATTATTATTATTATTTTTTTTTTTTTTTAAGACGGAGGAAGTATAGATATTTAAAGTGTGATCAACTTTTTATTTAACAATGTTTAATGACAAAGCTATGAATATGTTACGAGTAGTTACGATATTATAAATGCAATTTATTGTTCATTTATGAAATCTATCTAATTAATTAATCTACCAAAAAAGCCAATAATTTGCAATCCCAAAACACAGCTTGAAATTACATCAACTGTGATTTTGATGTTTTACAAACTTTGATTTGTTTGTTTGAAGTTTTGTTTCATATTATAATAGTTTGAATGGATGTTTGGAAAAAATATGTTATAAAAATAAAATACTACTACCTCCGTCAAACTTCAAGGATATCATTTACTTTTTCCGCGTTAATATTTAAATATTAATTATTATATCAAAATATAGTACAAATTAAGAAAAAATTGCAAAAAATACTTCAATCAGTATCTTATAATACTAATAGAATAACATTTGTACAAAATATTATACAAATATATGAATATTTTAACGTTTAAGTACAATAATGTAAAAGGTAAATGTGACCTTAGAGACGAGAAAATACTATATTTTTATAGGAAATACTCCCTTCGTCCCTTAACAATCTATCCATTTTTTCATTTTGATTCATCCCTTAACAAAGTATTCATTTCCTTCTTTATAGTAATTGTAGTATCTACCTAACATTACAAATATCCTTCTAATTTACAATATATTACACAAATGTAATTACCTTTATATCATACAATACTAGCAGTGTTAATTTAGTTTTTTTGCCTTTATTTCTACTTTATTCCAATATAATACTAATATTTCTAATTTAGTCTTTTTGCCTTTATTTCTATTTTATTCCAATATAATAATAATATTTCTAATTTAGTATTTTTACCTTTATTTCTACTTTATTCTAATATAATACTAATATTTCTAAAATTTCGTAGCAAATTGATATATAAATACGAGACAGAGAGAGTATAAAACTTTATATAATAATAAAAAATTATTAAAAATCAAATTCCAAACAAATAGTCATAATTAATTAATGTGATTTTAGTTAATCACTTTACTGAAACAGGTAGTTTAATTAGATAAATACTAAATACATTTATCACATTATATACTTTTCTCTGTCTTATAAAAATATACGCATATCATATTTAATAGGAAGTATATTTTTTCTTTAAATTTTATTCATTATTTTTTCATCTATTTACATCATTGTTCCACATATTTCTTACGAATTATTTTACTTTAATTTAAAAATTATATTACTAATTCTATAAAAATTCAAATTCAACATAATTTTATAAAATAGAAAGTAATATAATTGTAATTTTGTAAAATAAATTAATATACACTATTATTCATTAGCTAATTTAATGAAATGAAGGAATAAATAACATCTCAAGTTGGTCATAAAAACACTAACCTTAATAATTTTATAAAACACTATAGGAACAATTCAATTTCAGATTCATAAAAAATAATCCCTCCGTCCCATAACAAAGTATCTATTTTTCCATTTTAGTCCGTCCCATAAAAAATTATCCATTTTTTTTAAGAGTAACTGTACTATCTATTAACATTACAAATATCTTTACAACTTACAATATATTACACAAATATTATTACTTTTATATTACATGTACGGTTATTTTAGTCATTTATACATTATTTTTACTATATTCCAATATAATACTAATAATTCTAAAACTACGTACAAAAAATAAATAAATATTTATTTATGGGACGGAGGGAGCAATATTATTTAAATTTATACTCCCTCCGTCCCATAACAAAATATTCATTTTTCCATTTTAGTCCGTCCCATAACAAAGTAGTCATTTCCTTTTTTAGTAATTGTACTATCTACCTAACATTACAAATACCCTTACAACTTACAATACATTACTTTTATATCACATACTAATAAAGTTATTTTAACCATTTCTACTTTATTCCTACTATATCCAATATAATACTAATAGTTATAAAACTACGTACAAAAAACAGATAGATATTTAATTCCGGAACGGAGGAATGGAGTATTTTGGTCCAAATATGTTCTATTATATATATTAAACTTTTTTTTTTCTTTCATATTGACCAAAATTTTCTTCTGAAAAATATAACACCATTTAGTATCTATTCTTTTATTTAAAATATCATATATCCCACTTTTAATACACTAGTCATTTAATTAATTAATTAATTCTAAATCCCATTATATATTATTTTTATTTATATATTAAATATAAGATTCAATTTCATAATATAAACTATATATTTATACCATATCAAGCTAATTTCAATTAAATGTTTTTACCATTTTCATAACACAAACACAATTAAGCAATTCTTATATCCAACTATTTACATTAACAAAACAAAGATCTTTGATAAGGCAAGAAAGAAATGTTAAACATAAGAAAACATCACAAACACAGGTTCTGATCATTTGAAGTTTAATTTCAATTTTTTTTTTCCCTAATGTAAAAATATAATTATTTTCTCTGACAAAATATCGCTCAAACAACAATCGAACTAAAACCGAAAACCAAAAAACAAAATCGAACTCCAAAAGAGCATGAAATTTCACTATCCTCAGCTACTCGAACACAAAAATTACGATACATATCGTGACACATCCACATTGAAATCAAGATCACATTGCGACAAATCAGACAAAATCCATCAAAAACAAGCGTAACATATCTTTCGCGCAATCCGTAACAGATAAGCTACCATAACTCGCTAATGCATATTCTCATGATCACAAATAAATAGTTAACGCATAAAATAGGCAGATTTCGAACACAAATAACCAGGAACGATAAAAAAAAAAAAAATAACACATTTTTTTTTTTTTACCATGGATGACGAAGCTCTTCCACGCCGAAGACTATTTTACTACTCCCCATCCTGGCTTTCATCTTTTGCAAGCTTAATCATGTCATCGATTCGAAGAATGGTAATAGCAGCTTCGGTGGCAAACTGTGAAAAAAGATGTTTTGGAGAGAATTAAAGTTAAAACAAAATTTTGCATAATAGAGAATTCCAAACGTTGATGGGATGTCGGGTGCTTTCTCTAACCTGGATTATTTTTACTTTGCTCATGGCTGGCTCGATTACTCCGGCTTCCAAATTGTTGCGAACTGTGCCTTTCACTAGGTCGAGACCCATGCTGCAACAATATAAAAAGGGTAATTAGCATTTTTCATTCAAATACTTCTATAAGCACCAAAGACAATTCGTAACGCAGAATACTTCGGCCACATGGTGTGCAGAGAAAGGAGTTAGAATTATAATGAAGATTTAAGTCGTAATAAAATGAATGGGGAAATAGGAAGAATCGACGAGAAGAATGATAAATCCATACAACCATTTCTGTCTACTTTTGAACTCTTCCCTTTCACTATATTGAATCTTTTTGCTTTTCGTTCTGTCTATCATGTTTCCAGACAATTCATATCAGGCTTATATCTTGGATGTATGAGGCATTACTAAAATCGACAAGACACCACGAAAAAGAAAAAGGAAACTAGGTGTTTGGATTTGGTTCGGGGGTTTGAATAGTAAAAAATTAAATTCATAATTTGATGTGATATTTTGAATGAAAATTTGAATTTTGATGTGGTATATTAAATAAAATAATTATTTAATTTGATGATTTTGGAGGAGAAAGATTCAGGAATAGCCCCAAGCCCAATCCAAACACTAGTGATTCATTTATTCATGAAAAATAATAATGTGCAAGAGGGAGAACTAGTCCTGGCACATGGCAAACTCTAAAATAGATGAATCAATACTTACGGAGAATTTAATTTCAAATTTCCATAAATTTTTCATGATAAAAAAATGACATCAAATAATCAGTAAACTGACAAGGCAGCAAACAGGGAATACAAACCTTGACAAGTGCCTCTTATCTGCCTTAGTTTGTGCAGTGTGGTGGTAAGCTCGTAGTTTAGCGACAAGTTCAGTAGCATCTTTGGCCGCATTGACAGCAAGTACCTAAAATGAAATATTCCCAAATTGCTTCACTTTGTAATAATAATCAAGAGAGGACCTGAGATTTGACACTAATGATTCAGGAAACCCGTTGGACCTTTGGTATGATAAGTAAAGATTCGGCAAACTCTGCAATAGCCAGCTGCTCCCTGGATCCTAGGGTTGTGGCCAAATTTTCCAGATATACTGATAATGCCGCCTCAGCTGCGCCTCCACCAGCAACAACCTATAATTCCATAAATTCCTCAGTATAATAACGAGTATGTATATATAGTAGCATCAGTTTTTAGATGAGCCCCAAGGTAACATTGACACATTAACACATCTTAATACTTAAAAGAAAATCAAGACTGAATATAATCTACGAACTGCCTAGCTTCGAACAAAATGAAAAAAATAACAGTGGAGCATATATGACCTATGGAGATAATAGGTTTGTTTACATGTATTTTTCAACCCATTTTTTACAATTCATTTGATCATTCTACAAAAAAAGGCCAAAGATGACTAATAAGAATGTGCATCAGATGCCAATCTGGAAAATCTCTTCATGAATTATTATATTTAATTTCTGCTATATATATATACAAAATTATGAAATCTTTAATCCTAATTAACTTCAAATTGATTCGCACACATGAAGCCTATATTCCAGACTTCTATATATACCTATCAATTTTACAATCACATCAATATATAACACAAGTATATATGTATATATTTAATATAAGATATACTAAGTTATTTTAATATTTATTGCTATTCTACTCAAGAGAACACATTTATTTCAGACCAAAAATATATTTAAATTTTAAATAAAGCCAATATCTTTATATTGGAAGTAATGTTAACAGCAAATCCTAAAGAAACAACGCCAATGTAACAGCACAAAGTTAAAATTCCTTGAAATGGGTAAACTTAATGCTCAGACCAAAATAAAGTTGAAACAAAGACATTCCTACAGGGATACAAGTTATGAGCAAGATTCTTACAGTATTTGATTCTAGAGTCCTTTTGACAATGCAAAGGGCATCATGCAATGCCCTGTCCATCTCATCAAGCATGAAATCATTCGCACCTCTAAGTATTAATGAAACCTGCAGAAAACACATATCAGATTAATAATATGAATCCAGCAATTCTGCATAGATCTAAAATCTATGCATAGCTCACATAGGGTAATTTACCAAATAAATAAGCCGGGGTTCAAACAAATGAAGAAATATTTCGATACCAACAGTTTAGAAAGAAGAAACCAGTCATATATGTCTGGATATTTATTCTAAATTTCTTGTGAGTGTTTTAACTTTTAACCTTATAAATTAAGTGTTGTTTGTTGATTTGAACTGTAATGGAAAGTTTTTAAATTACAGTTCAAATCAACAAACAACACTTAATTTATAAGGTTGATTGGATAAGTATTATAACATAATTATAATGTAATCAGATATAATATATAGCAGTTATAATTATCAGGTGTAGGATACAGGATTTTGCAATTGTGATCATAAAACGTAACAACCAACTAATAGTCAATTATTTGAAATGCTTTACTTGCATGATCAGGGTAAAATATTATTTTGTAAAGTGTGTTTGGCAGATTGAGTTTCACTTCTCTTTTCATTTTTCAAGAAGGCATCGAAACATAGATGCCTTTATCCAACATGCTCAAATTGCAAAAAAAAAAAAAAAAAAAAGAAAAAAGTCATAGTGCTATACTGTTACTGCACTACAAAATTAAAACTCATACCGCATTTGATGTTTTTGTCCCTTTTATCATAATCACATCATCATCAGCAATGCGTTCCTCAACAACTTCATCAGCATATCCTAGAAATGAGGAATCAAATGTTTCTTCCCCTTCCATATCTGCAAATGTTGAAACCTGCACAGAAAAATGAGTGGGATAGGTAGGAGTCACTCAAGGACAATGGCCAAAGGAATTACCACATTAACCATTTTAAGCCCCGCTGCTTCATTATGTTATCTACAATAACATACTATCTTAATGTGAAGGCAAACATCCTAATGGCTCATCAGTCAAAATTTCATATGCACAAATAACACCCATGTCTGTTGGACTAAAGAATGTATTCCTACAAATTATTTTTAGATATGAAACTTCATAGAATCTGGAAGAATATTATTAGGGAAATTCACTACAAACATTGTTTGGTTGAGAAAGTAATTAGGATGAATTGCTACTCCACAGCATGAAACAACTTTATTAATGTTTTTTTTTCTCATCGAAGGCAGAAGATAAGAGAATAAACATTGTCAGAATATGCAACTGAAGAGACAGCTTCATTTCATCCTTTAACAAAAACTGGAGCGCAAAATTGAACTTTTTTAGATCCTAGTAAATTACAGTTACTGACACTTGAAATGTCAAAAAGTAGCTGTCAATTTTATATGACTGGTTTCAAACTCCATGTTAACCTGAATTTATTTGTTATAAAGTATTATAATATTGGAAGGAAACAGGTGCACATTATATAGAAAGCATATGCATCATTTGATAATGAGAAGCATATACCGCAGTTGCACCAGTTGCCTTGGCAACATGGCGTAGATCTTCTTTGCGGACACGTCTCACAGCAATTGCACCAGCCTCCACAAAGTACTGTCGAAACAATAAGACCAGATTTAACACTAATCAACGAACAGAATACAAAGGACAATTTAACTTACATTCCTTAAACAGAATAAAGAAAATAAAAATGATAAATTGCATATGATTTCAATAATTAATGTAAATCCACAACATTTTCTTACATGCAAACAAGAAAATAATTCTAATATTGAAGCATTCCAAAAATGAAAGCTAAGGCCTAACAAGCCTCGAACTTCTGGTAAGATAGTTCTTTTTAAAGAAAACAAACTAGACATAGAATCAACATCTTTGATGTGTTGTCCACATAGCATGTGGAAATAGGAAGCATAGATGCTCTTACTACTGGTATTTATTACCAGGATCAAGGAAAATTAGAGGTATTAACAAAACACAGCATTACAGAAAAAACTTGCCTTAAGTGCCATATCATCTATCCCTTTTGTGGTTAGCACGACATTTGCTCCTGCCTTAAAAAGCTTCTCAATGCGTTCTTTTGTCATGTCAGCTTCTCTGCAAGAAATAAGTTGCATAATTACCACAATACCCTAGCCAAACAGAAATTGATGGGCAAATTATTGAGGCTGCACTGGAATACATTATTTGAAGGATATAACCAATACCGAATAGTAGTTAAGCAAAACTAAACAGATCAATGAACTAAATCTAGTCTAGACTGGAGAGTAAAAACAATTACACTGAAACATAACAATTTATAAAAGATGAAAAGAGATAATCACCTTTGGCGAATCTTTTCCAACTCCCTAGGATCGGTGACCAGAACTTGGATACCCATTTGCATCTTTGTCTTTTGAAGATTGAAATCAAGACAAGCAATTTTGGCCGGTGCAACCCTCAGAGGCATCCCTTGTGCAGCACGTCCAGTGTTGAGTGCATATCCTTTAAGTAAATAGCTGTCTCTAGCACTTTTTCCATGGGCTTTTAGTATGTTGATTCCCTGAGCATCAAGAAGATTATGTGAATTACAGCTACAAAACAATTCATAGCATGCGCTCATCTATTCTGAATTCATTTACTAGATCTGAAATCTGATAATTGAAAATTTCACATGGAATCAAAAAAGTGAGTTAAAAGGAACTTCAAATTCACCGAACCAGCATGCACATAAAATTAAGTACTTCTGATATTGAGTGAAAAAAAAATAGGAAAAAAAATAAAAGATTAATAAATGTTTCGCACAATTACAGGTCTATTCACAATCAGTTTTCCACCTTATTTTAAAAAACTATTCATTCTACTATTTTTCCTTTCAAAACATCAAATTCAACACCCATTATTATTCAAAACATCAAATCCAACAATTATCTTCATCTCAAAACATTAAGGTAAAAAATGTGCACACACATACACACAAGCAAGCACACCCTGCATTCTACATAACGTGATTAATCATTCCCAAATCCCCTTACATCAATACATCCCATAAAAGAAAATAACGTGTAGCACTTTGAACTATTCCCCACGTACATATATAAGAGGTAACGTGTTCATGCAATGTACTTGCCTATATTTTTGTTTGACTGAAATGAAGTTAACACAGGAAATAGATCTTTGCAGAAGAAGATGAAAAAAATGAAAATGAAAAAGGGTAATAGAATAGTGAAAAGCGCCCTATGGAACAGGCTCATACTGATCTCAAGATTGAAGTATTATCAAGAAATAAGTAAACACTGTGTACGAACCTTGATTGGGTATTTAACTTCACCTCTTGCATTAGTCATCTTCACTGCTTGCACAGCCTCCACAACCTGAAAATTGAATAAGTTGAATCAGGTTCTTCATGAGCAGAAGTTAAAGAGCTTATACCAAATACCACAAATATTCAGAATGGCAGGAGCCAAAAGATTATCATTCAGATTGAATGTCAACCCATTCAACCATTTACCAGATTTGCAAAGAAGTCACTGTCACCGCCTATCAACTTTGAGGACATGCTAGTCTTGGCAGAGTTTACAAGAGAATCTTTCCCCAGCTTTTCCACCTAGCATACATAAAATAGAATATCATGCCAATTCCAATTTTAAAAGAGAGAGAGAGAAAGAAAGACAGCATATCATGCCAAAATTGTAAGCCAACTAAATCTTACCACAACATTAATTCTTTTATCCAGAATTCATAACCTATATGTTTACAAGTAACTCATTGTACCACTAGATTTTTCAAGGGTTTAGAACTAACATTATTTCCTATTCATAAACTTGGAAAATAGAGAAACAACACGCGAACTGTAAGAAAACAAAAATATCGCATTTGGGGCAACAAATAGCCAGGCTAATGTACCTTAACAGCAAGCTTTTCATCAACATACTTGCACGCTTCCCTCATAGCAAGCTGTCAAGGAGATGTTTAGACAATTACAGAAAGCAGCATCCATTGTAAACCAGATGAAAATAATCATACTCACTCTGTATCCACTGATTATTGATGTTGGATGTATCTTATTTCTCACCAAATCATTTGCTCTCTGCAGAAAACACAAGAAAACTAAATACTCAAAAGGCATACCAAAGGGTAACTTAAAGAATTTCAGACAGGGATATAGCAAAGCTACCTTGAGCAGCTCAGCAGCAATAATAACAACAGAAGTTGTCCCATCACCAACTTCTCGGTCTTGTAGTTCTGCTAACTCAACTAGGACCTATTACCACAATTAGATCAAAACAACAAAGATAAGAATAAATTAATTTACAATTAGAGAACTCTAGGAAATTTATAATAAACTACGCACCTTGGCTGCTGGGTGCTCCACCTCCAGCATTTTTAGTATTGTGGCACCATCATTAGTGATTGTCACATCACCAATATCGTCTACAAGCATCTGGGCAGTACAAAAAGTTGGAGTGAGTAAATATAATCCTGATTTCACTTCAAGTGAGAACATAATAGAAAGAGATTCAACACTAGATGACTGCTAACTAAACAAGCAAGCATTGCCATCTAACAAGTATTAGCATGCTTTATGTTCACACAATCCATAGTTACTCTCAAAGGCTCACTGCCCACACAGCTACTGAAAACAGAAGCTACTTTCTATGAATCTTCAGAGCTAACATTGCCCTACAAACTTAGTTTCTAGGTCAGAATGTATCCTCCTAATACAAAAATGTCGAAACACTCAATTCACTAAACAAAAACACTCACAAAATCAAGATTTTCTTTTATGTACATAACTATGAAAATTCAAGAATTCAATAGCTTATCATTACCTACCCTCCAATCAAATTCAAATTCAAATAATTTCATACTCATAAGATGCAATGTTCGACAGTGTTTAAATCCACAAAACGCGCTAAAAACATTCCAAAATTCTAGAGCTACATTAGCACAAAACTTCCGGATCCAAAACTCAATATCCTCCATAGTTTAAACACAAGCACCACAAGCAACCAACTCAACCTAGACATTAACACAACATCAATGGCAAGTACGAAAATGACAGAATACACCAAAAAAAATCACCTTATCAAGGCCAACAGGACCGAGCGAAGATTTAACAATGTTCGCAACCGCCTGGCACGCCACCACTGCACATTTCCCGGAAACAAAATAAATCCAAAATCATATCAACAGGAAGCAACATTCTCAAACACACAAAACACATTTGTACATAAACCGATGCATATTGCGAACAAAAATGAGGAGCACACACCATTTTGAGTGCGAACATCCTGGCCGGACTGGCGCTCGCCGGAAATATCAGGAGTCTGAGAAATAATCGCCATGTGAAAGTATCCGAGTCCGGATCGCTTAGCTCGATCGAGAGATTGAGAGTGGAAGTGGCGGTGAAAGTTTTCTGACGAGTTGAGCGCCGAGAGAGCAGCGAAGGGACTAGTGAAAAAGGAAGGAGACCTCAGCAGAAGCAGAAGAGGAGAGGTTTGGGAGGGAGGGTTTGGGAATACGACGTCGTACGCTTCGTTTATAACATTTGGGCTCAATTAGGACATAATTCAGGCCCATTTATACGCTAAGTGGGCCGCTCCTTCTGCGGCCCAAATATATTTAATGCTCCCAATGTAATATAGATAGATTCGAGAATTTAAATAAAATATAATTAGTAAATAATTAAGAAGTGTATTAGTAAAAATAATGATTATATATTAAAAATAATTATAAATTAAAATTAAGATAATTAAATTGTTTAATTTTATAAAAAATTTAAATTTTAAATTTTAAAATATGATTAAAGTGTATAATCAATTTTTCAGAAAATGAAAGGAAAAATTATGTAGGACGGACGAAAATATAAAATAGGGACAAATTATGTGGGACGAAGCCAGTATTATTATCTGTCATTGAATCTTAAGTTTAAATATTATTGGCGTGTGCATATACTTAGGAGGGTGTTTGTTTGGAGTTTTTGTTTTTAATAATTAAATATTTGAATTTGAATAATTATTTGATATGATATTTAAGAATATAGAATTATAATTTAATATAATATAAATAAAATTTAAAAATTTAGAAGAAAAAAATAATGAATAATTTAAAACACATAGCTAAGCCCTCTAAAAATCCATTAACAAAATGTTTTGGATTTGTTTTGTTTTGAATTGAAATGTAAATTTTTTTATTAGCAATTTAGTTAAAAAGTATTTTAATTATATGAATTGTAAGATAAAATAATACTCCCTTGGTTTTCAGATACCATGTCACTTTCTTTTTTTTTTTAAAATGATTACACACCTTAATTTCATTTTAAATTTTTAATTTTTTTTAATTTTAATTAAACTAATTAGTTATCTTAATCTTAATTTATAATTATTTATATTATAGGATAATTATTTTCACTAGTACATTTTTAATTATCTACTAATTACACTCCTCCTAAAATACGGTGTCTACGGTGTAGCAGACACGGTATTTAGGACGGAAGGAGTATATTTTTATTTGAAATAGTTGGAATTAAACAATAGAATTTTTTATTCTAAATAAAAGACAAGCACACTCTTTAGTTTTTTATTGTTATTTAAACAATAAATATGATGTGGTGTTTTGTAATTATTAAAAAATAATATAAAAAAACATAATTATTAAAAAAAAAACTTAAAATAAATAGAACACTATCACTATTATTTCTTGGATTTTTTTAGCTTTGTGTTTATATTGTAAAATGATTCAAAAAAATATTTTTTTTATAAAAATAATAAATAGGTATAATATGCTATTTTTTTAAAAAAAAAAAATATGTTGGTTTTTACTTTAACTTTTTATAGTCACAACTCACAAGTTTACCCACACTATCAAAAATTTTTTTTCTAGACAATTTTTTTTTTTTTTTGATATATTTACTTATGCTTAGGGGTATTTTTGGTTATTTTAAATTTAAAAACTTTTGAAATATGAATTATCAGTTAGAAAGGATGTATTTAATTGATAGTTTTTTAATAGTATTTTAGATGCTTATTTTTAGGATAAACAATATATTTTTATAAAGAATTATAAATATTCAATAAAAGAAATATATATAAAAAAGTATCGAGTCAACACATCAATTCATATAAAATGTTAGTATTGAATTGAAATTTATTGACAATAATTTTTATAATGTATAGAATAGTGAGAAATGATGTGGGAAAAAAAATATAGACAGAGAGTGTATTATTTTAGCCAAAAAATACAAATATTTTTTTTCAAAATAATTAATATATCGTACATATTCATTATTTTTATATTATTTTATTATCATTTTTATATTATTCATACACAAAATATTGTTTCACAAAACAAACACACCCAGAACTTGTGTATTTGTTAATACTATTATTTTATGTGTTGTGAATTGTTTTCAAAATAATATAAATTTAAATTTAAAATAAATACTCCCACCGTCCCATAACAAAGTATCTATTTCTCCATTTTAGTCCGTCCTCTGACAAAGTATCCATTTTATTTTTTTATTTAGTAACTGTACTATCTACCTAACATTACAAATACCCTTACAACTTACAATATATTACACAAATGTCATTATCTTTATATCACACATACTAATAAGGTTATTTTAGTGATTTCTACTTTATTCCTACTATATCTTAATATAATACTAATATTTTTAAAATTACGTGCAAAAAACAAATAGATATTTACTTTTGGGACGCTGAGTATTAAGGATGATATTTGAACTTAAAATATGTATGAAATTGAATATTAGGGTGTGTTCGTTTGATGGATTTTGTCAAAATCCCACTATTCATCCAAAAAATTTTCCCCAAAAACATCAAATCAAACACGTATTTTTTATTTTTTATATTATACTAAAAATCAATTTTACATTCAAAACATCACATCATCACCTATTTATATCACATCATACAACTATTCAAATTCAAAATTTTTACTATTCAAATTCCAACTCAAAATTCAAACCCCCAAACAAACACACCCTAAATGAAAATGTAATATCTTGAATGTGAATATTAAATTATGTGTTTAATATGACTTTTAAAGGAAGAATATTTGAACTTGTAGTTAAAGGGGTTATCAAAATATCTAAACTTCGAAATTTTGATTAGAACTAAATTAAAATTTAATTTGGATTTTTAAAATTTTTCAATTGATTCAAATTTAATGTTTGATAAATTTTGGATTTTTAGGTTGTGATACTATAAATTTGAACTAATTTGAAATTCGAAATATAACATTTTAATATATTTTATTTTATATATTTACTATTTTATTAAAATATTAGTACTATATTTTAATAAAAATAAAAACTCAAAATTACCAATTACATTTTAGTAAACTTAATTTTTTGTATCTTATATACATTTAATATTATAAAAAAATTATAAAAATTTAAAATAAAATTTAAAATTTAAAAAATAATTCAAAAGTTAGAATTTTGGGTTATTTCAATTTGGTTTGAATGTTTTAATTCGGTTTCAAATTTTTGAATTTCAGTTATTTATGCTCGGTTCGGATTGGTTTTGTTAAAAAAAAAAAATCAAAATTTCGGATTAGTTTGAATTTGGCAAAATTCAAACAAAAAATCCTAATGTTCACACCTATTTGTTAATATTATTTATTACTCCATTCGTCTCATATCTATATATATCAATTTGCTTTTTGCACAGAGTTTTAGAAATATTAGTATTATATTGGGATAAAGTAGAAATAGAGATAAAAGACTAAATTAACCCTATTAGTATTGTATGATATAAAAGTGATGACATTTGTGTAATATATTATAAATTGAAAGGGTAATTATAATGTTAGGTAGACGGTACAATTACTAAAAAAAGAAAATGGATACTTTGTTATGGGATGGACTAAAATGAAAAAATGGATAGATTGTTAAGGGACGGAGGGAGTATTAATTTTTGTAAAAAAAAAATATGTAGTATTATTTTTTTTAATAAAATATCACATCAAGATACTATTTAAACAAAAATTTTAAGCAATACCCATTTCAAATAAAAATTTCGAACCACAAGAGTGTGTTTCTTTATCCCAATTTTTTCAAAATTTAGTATTTAAATTCTATATTTTTCGAAAAAAAAAATTCCTCGGATAAAATATTATTTAACTACAAATCTTAAATTAAATCTTTCAAAAGAAAAAATTCTTATGGTCTAATTGTCTTTAACGTTGGAGTCATGACCGTAAAACTATGGGTTCAAATACTTTCGAATTTACATCAAGATCACTTATGGCATTTGAAATGGATAAAAAAAAATAGTTGTAGAAAAATTTATTTATGAATTATGCTGATGTAAAATGTTACAATAAAAAATATGTAAGTCAAATGTAGAAATAGAACTATTAAAGCTTATTAGGTCAAAAAGGGAGAGTACTGTGGGACATTAATTATCAATGCCTATATTTAATAAGAAATCTAGTCACAAAATTCACTATTAACATTATTGCATTTATATAATTTGTTACAAAAATAATATTTATAGTTGATCTTCCTATTTTGTCCATACCATTTAATTTATCTTTTGCAAATTTTATTTTATTTTTTATCACGTGGGAACTCGCAGCCGCTACACGAAAATACGCACTTTGTTTATTTTTTGCAAATTTTGTTAACTATGAATGAATATCCTTCTTTCCTAGCATTATTAGTATGATCTTTTGTGTTTTTATTTTTGTTTTGAAATTTTTTTGAGGTGAAATCCTGATTTGATATAATATTTTATATTAAAAATTGTATTTGATTTTATACATTTTTTTAAAAAATAATAACAAAACACAACAGAACTTATATATATCAAGATGAATATTATTGTGGTTCGCTTAGTGACTTGCTTGTCAGATCTAGTTTGTAGGTATTAAGTTCGGCCGAGGATTTAGGGTTTAGGGTTTACTGGTGCGCACTTTCAGTAGCGGCTACGGATTCCCACGTCACAAAAAAAAAAAAAAAAAGATTAATATTACTATGCATTACTAAAAGCAAATGACATTAAAGCAAATGGTTGAAATTGTGGTTGGCTTCCAAGTGGGAGACATTTGAACCTAATTGTAGTTCAGCAAATAATTCCGTTTACATAAGAAAGTTTTGGATTCAAAAATTTAGAAATAATAATAAAAAATAAAAATAATATTTGATATAATACTTTCTATGAAATAAAAGTATTTAATATAATATTTTTAAAGAATAAATAGTGCTTAAATTTTAAAAATATAATATGTAAATAATAAATAGTTTTTAGATCACAATTAATTTTATTATTTATTATTCAATATGTACGACTATTAATAGCAGTATGCTATTTATTTTGATGGAATATTATATATTAAAAGGGTAAATTATATAACACTCTTTTGTATTTTAGTAAAAATGCACAAAATATTATTTTTTTTATTTAAAGCGTGAAACTCCCTTGTGTTAATATAAAATTTGCACGAAACATTCTCCTTGTTCAAAACTGATATTTAGTTCTAAA